ATCTCCCCAAAACCCCAAAACCCCAAAACCCCAAAACCCCTTTAAAATAACCAAAAATTGAACTTTAGCAATTTAAATTTAATGCTAGGAGAGGTGAAGCTTATCACTTCATGGGTCAAGAGAATCATAATAGCTTTACTTTGAAGATTTTATATGATTTTCTAGTCCTGCTCTGTCTTGATTCCTGGTTCAAGTACTATGTTAGAATTATTAAACCAAGTTACGAGGATATTTGATTATATCAATTTTCAAGAAAATGTGCTGCATTGATTCCTCACTGTATTTTTGTGAGAGCATCCTTTGTTGTTAAATCTGAAGAATTTCTTATGCTTCTCATTCCTCTTCATACTCAGCAATATCATTTTCAAGCTCATTCTACATTTTACGGTTGGTGAGTCGAAAAATTTCCTTTAACCTGAAATATTAGCATTTCTTTGATATAATAGATCAGAGGAGCTTTCTCTATGAACCAGATAAAAATGTATTATTTGCTCATAGAAGAGAAACATCCTACGTTCAGAGGCCTGAAATAATGACTTACTCTCTTGTTTGTAGAAAATTCAATAATCTTTATCTTTAGACCACTGAAAGTCCAGAGTCTTTGTAAATAATTGAATTAGATTATAGTGTCTATTTCCTCTTCTATCTCATTGCTAAATTATACAGAAGTAGGGTTAATTTTAATGGAGCTCCATTTCCTTTTGCTAAGAAGCCAACGTATCCTCGGGTTTGAAGATTATATAATTTCTCAATAATTTTAGTGTCTCTTTTAGTGATGAACACTTTACTGGAGTGAGTGGTAAACTTGGTATTCTTGGTTGAAAAGATTCACTATGAGATTATTGACTCAGTTCCAGTTGTCAGTATCCTTTTCCCACCAAAATGCTCAGTTCCATTTTCTTGAAGAGAGAAGCATGGAACTGTGAGCTTAAGAAACAGTCAGTACTTTCAAACTTAAAATGTTTTTAAGGGGTTTTGGGGTTTTGGGGTTTTGGGGTTTTGGGG